AGCTATACCAGGAGCGAGGATTGAACTCGCGATCTTCTGCGTGTAAGGCAGACGTCATAACCACTAGACCATCCCGGCGACGGAACCGCTGAACCAAGCTCAATCCAGCAAGTGAGTCATATATTGACTGTTCAGATCCGGCATGTCATATGCATAGGAGTAAGCTATACCAGGAGCGAGGATTGAACTCGCGATTTTCTGCGTGTAAGGCAGACGTCATAACCACTAGACCATCCCGGCGACGGAACCTTTGAACCAAGCTCACTCCAGCAAGTGAGTCATATATTGACTGTTCAGATCCGGCATGTCATATGCATAGGAGTAAGCTATACCAGGAACGAGGATTGAACTCGCTATCTTCTGCGTGTAAGGCAGACGTCATAACCACTAGACCATCCCGGCGACGGAACCTTTGAACCAAGCTCACTCCAGCATGTGAGTCATATATTGACTGTTCAGATCCGGCATGTCATATGCATAGGAGTAAGCTATACCAGGAGCGAGGATTGAACTCGCGATCTTCTGCGTGTAAGGCAGACGTCATAACCACTAGACCATCCCGGCGACGGAACCTTTGAACCAAGCTCAATCCAGCAAGTGAGTCATATATTGACTGTTCAGATCCGGCATGTCATATGCGTAGGAGTAAGCTATACCAGGAGCGAAGATTGAACTCTCGATCTTCTGCGTGTAAGGCAGACGTCATAACCACTAGACCATCCCGGCGACGGAACCGTTGAACCAAGCTCAATCCAGCAAGTGAGTCATATATTGACTGTTCAGATCCGGCATGTCATATGCGTAGGAGTAAGCTATACCAGGAGCGAGGATTGAACTCGCGATCTTCTGCGTGTAAGGCAGACGTCATAACCACTAGACCATCCCGGCGACGGAACCGCTGAACCAAGCTCAATCCAGCAAGTGAGTCATATATTGACTGTTCAGATCCGGCATGTCATATGCGTAGGAGTAAACTATACCAGGAGCGAGGATTGAACTCGCGATCTTCTGCGTGTAAGGCAGACGTCATAACCACTAGACCATCCCGGCGACGAAATCGTTGAACCAAGCTCAATCCAGCAAGTGAGTCAAATATTGACTGTTCAGATCCGGCATGTCATATGCGTAGGAGTAAGCTATACCAGGAAAGAGGAATGAACTCGCGATCTTCTGCGTGTAAGGCAGACGACATAACCACTAGACCATCCCGGCGACGGAACCGCTGAATCAAGCTCAATCCAGCAAGTGAGTCATATATTGACTGTTCAGATCCGGCATGTCATATGTGTAGGAGTAAGCTATACCAGGAGCGAGGATTGAACTCGCGATCTTCTGCGTGTAAGGCAGACGTCATAACCACTAGACCATCCCGCCGACGGAACCGGTGAACCAAGCTCAATCCAGCAAGTGAGTCATATATTGACTGTTCAGATCCGGCATGTCATATGCGTAGGAGTAAGCTATACCAGGAGCGAGGATTGAACTCGCGATCTTCTGCGTGTAAGGCAGACGTCATAACCACTAGACCATCCCGGCGACGGAACCGCTGAACCAAGCTCAATCCAGCAAGTGAGTCATATATTGACTGTTCAGATCCGGCATGTCATATGCGTAGGAGTAAGCTATACCAGGAGCGAGGATTGAACTCGCGATCTTCTGCGTGTAAGGCAGACGTCATAACCACTAGACCATCCCGGCGACGGAACCGTTGAACCAAGCTCAATCCAGCAAGTGAGTCATATATTGACTGTTCAGATCCGGCATGTCATATGCGTAGGAGTAAGCTATACCAGGAGCGAGGATTGAACTCGCGATCTTCTGCGTGTAAGGCAGACGTCATAACCACTAGACCATCCCGGCGACGGAACCGCTGAACCAAGCTCAATCCAGCAAGTGAGTCATATATTGACTGTTCAGATCCGGCATGTCATATGCGTAGGAGTAAGCTATACCAGGAGCGAGGATTGAACTCGCGACCTTCTCCGTGTAAGGCAGCAGGGCCTCAGCCAGCAATTTTGAAAAATGTTCCCTACTTCTGGCACCCCGAGAAGGAATGTTCCCTTGGGAGGGTCAGTCCCAGTGGCCCGCTGGGAACAGTGCGACCAACACATATCGAGTCAAAAGTCAGTTCACTACCGCGCGCCGTAAAAATATCTCGCGCGCCTTGTTCATCTACACGCACGGACTTCAAGTCCGGGACTTGTGAGTCTTTGCGATTAACTTGTATTGTAGATTTTAATTTCCCGCAACATGTCCATTATCAATGCTTTTGAGCGCATGATGGGAAAGGCAAAAGGATGTTCGGAGAGTAGCAGCAGCAAGGCAGCACCATCATCTGAGCCTTATGGTCACATTGCCACAGTCAGCGAGAGATCTGTTGCTAGTACCTTCGAAAGCAATGAGGATGACTCTCCAGTGACTCCTGTGGCTAAGCGTCCGAAGAGGGTGACCATTCGCGAACGCTTCGAGTGGCTTGTGCTTGCGAATAGGCCGGGCGAAGGGGCATCTTATTTGTGTCGTTTTTGTGCCAATGTTCCCTCCCATTTACGAGCCCTCGGGGATCGAAGGGAGTTTTTCTCCAACTGCCCCGTCGATGCTAAGAATAATGTGCGTGCCAAAGCTTTGGGCCATGAAAAATTATCGAGCCATAAAATATATAGTAGTGGATCGCATAAGCCTATTTGTACCTCTTTGGAGGAGGCCAAGGTTCAGCAGCTGAAGAAGAACCTCTCTGGCGACAAGGAGGGGTTGCAGCTTCTAATGAAGACCGTACTCTGGGCTATAGTTAATGAAGTGAGTTCTAAATACACACGAATGATGGTACACGACGGTCGTGTGACACGACTCGTGTCA